GCCCCTATCACAATACCTGAATATAATACATGATCAATAAACCAAAACAATTATCATCAATGGGAAGAGAGTTGGATTAGATGGCTTTAAGGATTAACTGGCAATGCTACTCTAAGATTCTAGGACTCTAAGTTCTAACCTTTTAAAAGCTTACAGTACTGAAAAGATTTCGCAGCCACAATGTGTTAAGTGCTTACTATATGCAAAGTGCTTTGCTTCAAGAAGAATTGCTGATATAAATAATGGGGAGAAGGAACTCAGTAATCTATCTCAAACACTTGTGTGTTTCTCAAGTTAAATGGAAGCTATCCAAAAGGCTCTACCAAAAGCAAGCAACAGTCTATGATAAAATTAGTCTCCTCCCCAAAAGGTAATGCTGAATTAGGTTCAATACAGTAAGTTAATACAAGGCTTTTGCAGGAAGATGATATAGGCTCCCGACAGGAAACAGGAAGGGCAGACCTGAGAAAAACAGAACAGAGACTACCATCCGAGGTCAAGGAAGCTGTGGAAGGGGCTGAAGGCCTGGGCACTTGGGCAGGTCTGGTCAGAGGTTGGGGACTGTTGGCTTACAGATGGTGACCCCAAACATACTTTCCAGACACCTGAGTGGCAGGAAGGGGCACCCCTCTTGGATCTGGGAGAGGGGATGGGAGCAGGCTGGCCAAACAAGAGCAATGCAGTATCGAGCAGAGGTCAGCAAAGTTTGCGTGACACATTCTTATCAGGTGAAGTGTTTTGGTTCTCCCTCATGTCCAAACATATTATTTATACATTATCCTCATGGACTTCCTATTAGTGTATCATAAAACCTTCAGAGAGTATGCCCATGGAAAAGGACAACATCTATTGAAGCAGTAGTTGTAGTATTTTATTCTTTCCCTTCATTAGTCTTCTTGTGCAGCCACTCTAGAGACCCCAGGAAGAAAACAGGTGAATTTTTTGAGGGAAGGAAGTGTGGCATTGTCATTCCCTTCATAAAACCTTGAAAGACCAAAAAAACCCACCACCCCACCCCAAACAAAAAGCATCCTCAACATGTTTCCCTTGGCTTTTCTTCAAAAGAGATGCCTGTTGGCTGGGTGTGGTGGCTCTCACCTGAAATCCCAGCACTCTGGAAGGCCAACATGGGCAGATCACCTGAGATCAGGAGTTCGAGACCAGCCTGGCCAACATGGTGAAACGCCATCTCTACTGACAATATAAGAATTAGCTGGGCATGGTGGTGCACAGCTATAATCCCAGCTATTAGGGAGGCTGAGGCAGGAGAATTGCTTGAACTCAGGGGCCGAAGGTTGCAGTGGGCCGAGATCATGCCACTGCACTCCAGCCTGGGTGACAGAGTGAGACTCCCTCTCTAAATAATTAAATAAAGAGAAATACTTGTTACCCAGTCAGTAGCAGGCAGGAACAGTGCCAGATAACTCAGTCCCCCGCTGCTCTCTCCCAGCCCTCTACCTGCTTTCTGATTGTATTTGTCACCAGAGGTTGCTACAGTTACACCTGATGCCATAAGATTTTCCACAATTAGAAAGCTCAGACTCTGTGATTTGGTAGTGACTATATCTGACCTGTCAGATCATGGCTGTTTTCCATTTGGGGAAAAGGGAAGCACTTTGTTTAAACTATATTTATATATAGGCTCCAGTCAGGAAACAGGAAGAACAGACCTGGGAAAAACAGCTACAGAACAGAGACCACCATCCCAGGTCAAGGAAGCTGTGCAAGGGGCTGAAGTCCCGAACTCCTGACCTCAAGTGATCCGGCTGCCTCAGCCTCCCAGCATGCTGGGATTATAGGTGTGAGCCACGGTGCCTGGCCTAAACTTTATATTCTGAGGAGAGGGACTGAACCCTGCAGAGTTCTCTTAATAAAGAGTCGTGGGTACAATTAAGCACTAGGTCCACGGTGTTTTTTTCTTTTCTCTTCTTTTATTTTTTCTTTTTCTTTTCCTTTCTTTATTTTTCTTTCTCGCTCCTTCCTTTTCTTTCTCTCCTTTCCTTTCTTTCTTTTGTCAGATGTTCTCTGGCTAAAAATTAGACTAGAAAAAAAATATTTCCTCTAAAAACTGGCATATTAGCAAATAACACAGCATATTTTTCTGCTGGTTTTACAGATAGCTAATTGCTCTTACTAAACATCAAATCTGCTGTGGAATTTTTACATAAACTTCATTTTATTCCCATAGAAAAAAACACACATGTGTAGTTGGTTATAAGAACACCAGATTGAAAGAAGCATTCATCCAGTTTGCTCCAGTTCATACATATGACAGCATTTTGCAGCCAGGACCCCTCAATACCTGAATGTACAGAGCCTCCGCCTGAATGAACTACCTACCAACACCACATTTGTGGTCTTGATTTAATTTCAACTGATAGAACTAGCTGGCTTTTGCCTCTAAATGCCAGCAATGGCTTTCCAATGTTACCTGGTGATTCTTGTCTGTCAAAAACTTTGTAGTCAGTCCTGGTTACCTTAGAGGTGCCTTATCTCCCAATGCACTTTCAAGGAATGGCAGCCTGCCCACTGCTTCTGTTTAGCCAAGCCCAGAGGATGTGAGCATGGCTCCCACTGACGAGACAGTTTGCTGGAGTTAAAACAAACTACAAACTCAGCCTGTGTAGGATTTAGGGGACACATTTTTATGTCTCAATTTTAAAAGTAAGAGAAATTCTCAGAGCAGGAGGAAAAAAAAAGAGAAATTAATTCTATAGACTGGTAGCAATTAAAGAAAAGCCATATTGCCATTTTGCTTCATAAGTTAAGTCAGTTTTGCTGTTTCCTTAGTTCCTTTTTACTTAGCTTTGTCAAGGTATAGCAAAGACAGCTGTCTGGGCTCTGCACCAGTGAACCTTCATGAACACCACTCACTCCATGGCATCAACTGGTTTTGTGCCTCAGGCAGGGTAGGGGATGTATGAGAAAGGAGAAAGGCAGATATCACAAAGACTTTTTGAAAGACTTAAGATGACAAATTTTTTTTGACTTTATAAAATACTGATTTTTAAAAAAAACATATTTTATTGGAGTCAATCTCACCATTCTTAGTTATAAAGATAAATGTTATTTTCTCTAACTCTACTTTTTGCATACTCACTTACAGTCAGTTCCATTGTTTTGCTTGAAGTGAACTTTCATTTTTCTAGATTACATAAATGAGCTGATTATGCAACTAAGAGGGTGGTAAATATAAGAATTATTTTTTACACATTACAATTCTGGTTGTTTGTGGAGTAACAAAGGGAGCATGAAAAAAAAAAATGTTCTGGCCTGCCCTGGATTCAAGTTTATCATCACTACACTTGATTTAAATGCCTAAATTTAATCCCTTTTACAAACAGGCATGGGTCCTTAGTCCAGATGTGAAAGAAAATTAGAAACTGTGGAAAACAAAACAAAAAAAAAAACTAAAATAAGATACTGGCTCAATAACTACAACGAAACCTGACTTCTTAAAAATTCACTAGGCAGGAATGCGTGGTAGTACAGAAAGGGAAGACTAAAGCGCACCTTTGATCTAATTGTGTAAGAGTTTGCTAAATCAGTTACTACTGGAAAATATACTTGCAAGAGAAAGCTGCAACTTCTAGAGACTGTTTCTAGTATCCTTAAGTAACTGTAGACATTATAATACTGAATGATATCCTAGTTATAAATAATTCTTATCCATAACTTAAATCCATCTTGAGGCTCTACTAAGTAAATCTTCCCTAACCTACTTAGAGGATGTACAGTAGTGATGAAAGTAGCCTTTCATTTTTAAAATGAAAATGAAATGTATTTTAAGTGAAAATGGAAGCCTTTCTCTAAATCAGAAACTACCAGTATCCTTAGAGCAAAGCAGGTTGTTGGATATTCTGGTTTAATACTTGAAATGTGGAAGCAACCCACTTGGGTTCAAATCCCCCTTCTACCATGTTCTTTAGAGTCATGGTGCTTTCCACTTCGTCTGTATAATGGAGAAAATAATTCCTAAAAGATTGTAAAAATGTAAGGCACTTAGAACACTTCACGGCCCTTAAAAGTTAGCTCTTGTTATATATACTACAAGTCAGAAGTGCAACTTACACTCAGTCACATCCCCAGGATCCCACTGAGAGAAACTTCTGTGACATGGTGAACATTTTAGAACACACACATTTTTAAGCCCCTTTCTTTAAGGCTCAAGGGCATATTTTCACACTGCAGTGCATCACAACCGTTTTGATTCTTCAACTGTTCATTTCTTCTGGCCTCTAGCCACCCAACCTAGCCTGCCAGGTACTTCTGATTAATTATACATAAGATTAATCCAAGCCACCCCCTCCCTGTTTCTACTAACGGGACTTCATTCGCTTCCGTTCCTGCTAGAATGCACCCCCTACCTCAAGTGCCCCCTCATCAATGCCCTTTATGATCAGCCTTTGACTTTGGAACCCCTTCATACATTCCTCAGATCGTTAGAGGTTTTCCGAGTCATCATCTGAGATTTTTCATTAAATTGTGGAGTTTGAGCAGCCAGTCCTGAGCTGTTGGACTCGGTTCCAGATAGGATTCCCAGTTACAGACACGAGAACAAGAAGATGGGTTAGCTGCGGCTCGAAGGACTGGTGAGCCCGCCCACAGGCCAGCCTGGGGAGGGTTCGTTCGGACAGGACAAGGGCGAGGGAAATGGGAGGATGGTGACGCACCTGAGTGCGTCCCACCGACGAAAGGATACCAACTAAGGCTTCGTGTAGTGCGTAGAGAGGCGCGCACACACACACACACACACACACACACACACACACACACACACGCAAAGACGAGAAAGGGAGAGAGCGGCGCAGCCCCAGGTAGCTGACAATGACATGGCCCCAATCCGGACGCGGGCTGAAAGCCTCCAGACTTCCGGAGTGCCACCCTCCCGGGCCACCTCCGGAGATTACCTCTGGCGCATCTCTCCGCCCTGCCCGGCTCGGGCGCCCTCCCCTCCCCCCGCAGCCGCAGCCGCAGCCGCAGCTCCCCGCCCCCGCGAACGCGGTTCCCCAGTGTCCTCCAGAACGCCCGCGTGGCTGTCGGGTTTCGAACCCCTGGGCCACCCTCGCCCTCGGCGCGCGCGCCGCCGCGTCGCCTACCAGGCTTCGGCCCCCGCATCAATCATTAACCGGGCGGCCCAAGGAGGGGGATGGTACGGAACTCGAGAGCCGGGACAACTCTATCCCCCGAGGCGGCCGCGAAACCCTAGCCTGGGAGGCCCCCGCCCTTGCTCGGTGCGCCCGTCCCTCCCTCCGCGCCTCGGCTCGCACATCCCCGCCTCCCGCTCCGGGGGCGGCGGCGGAGGCACCCGCACCGCGCGATGCCCAGTCACCGCCGCCGCCGCCGCAGTCAGCCGCGCCGCCGCCGCCGCCTCAGCCGCCGCTGCCGCAGCGCGGGCGGCCGCGCGCCGATAGCAGGGGCTTGGCGAGGAAGCCGCTGAGCCCCGCGCGCTCCGCGCTCCTGCCGGTCGCCGCGCTGCCTATTAATTGAGTCTCTCATTGATTTATTTAATTTTTAGGAGCAGCTGCTCGGAGGCACGGGTCTTCTCTTAAACCCGCAGCGACGCCCCCGGCGCGGGCACAAAGGCTCCGACGGCGGTCGGCGGGGGCTGCCCAGGGCCCGGGAGCCAGCGCCAGAGGTCGCCTGCGCGCGCCCTAGCCGAGCCCCGGGCACCATGCCGCGGCGCCTGCAGCCCCGGGGCGCGGGCACCAAGGGCCCTCCGGCCCCGGCCCCGACCCCAGCAGCTCCGGGGGCAGCCCGGCACTCCCACTCAGCCGCCTCCAGGGACCCCCCAGCGTCCGCCAAGCCGCTACTGCGCTGGGACGAGGTGCCCGACGACTTCGTGGAGTGCTTCATCCTGTCGGGCTACCGGCGACTGCCGTGCACGGCCCAGGAGTGCCTAGCCTCGGTGCTGAAGCCTACCAATGAGACGCTCAACTTCTGGACGCACTTCATCCCGCTGCTGCTGTTCCTGAGCAAGTTCTGCCGTCTGTTCTTCCTGAGCGGCGGCGACGTACCCTTCCACCACCCGTGGCTGCTGCCGCTGTGGTGCTACGCGTCGGGAGTGCTGCTCACCTTCGCCATGAGCTGCACGGCGCACGTGTTCAGCTGCCTGTCGCTGCGCCTGCGCGCCGCCTTCTTCTACCTGGACTACGCGTCCATCAGCTACTACGGCTTCGGCAGCACAGTGGCCTACTACTACTACCTGCTGCCCGGCCTCAGCTTGCTGGATGCCAGAGTCATGACCCCATACGTGCAGCAGCGCCTGGGCTGGCACGTGGACTGCACGCGCCTTATTGCCGCCTACCGCGCCCTGGTGCTGCCCGTGGCCTTCGTGCTGGCGGTGGCCTGCACTGTGGCCTGCTGCAAGAGCCGCACCGACTGGTGTACTTACCCGTTTGCGTTGCGCACCTTTGTCTTCGTCATGCCTCTCAGCATGGCCTGCCCCATTATGCTAGAGAGCTGGCTCTTCGACCTGCGTGGGGAGAACCCCACTCTCTTCGTGCACTTCTACCGCCGCTACTTCTGGCTGGTGGTGGCCGCCTTCTTCAACGTGAGCAAGATCCCCGAGCGCATCCAGCCGGGTCTCTTCGACATCATCGGCCACAGCCACCAGCTTTTCCACATCTTCACCTTCCTCAGCATCTACGACCAGGTGTACTACGTAGAAGAGGGCCTGCGCCAATTCCTCCAGGCGCCGCCTGCCGCACCCACTTTCTCGGGTACCGTGGGCTACATGCTGCTGCTGGTGGTCTGCCTGGGGCTGGTCATCAGGAAGTTCCTAAACAGCTCCGAATTCTGCAGTAAAAAGTGAGCCTCCCGCCTTGGAGGAGGCTACTGGTTCACCCATCTGTTTGGAGTTTCTGTTGTTGCTACCGTTGGTTTGTTTTCAAGTTTCGTTGTGTTTTCTTCTTTGCTCAAGGAAGGTGCTGCAAAACCATAGGGAAAAAGTTCACTGCTACAAAGGGATCCCAACCCACTGGAGGCTTTGAAAGAGGAAGGTTGGGGGAGGGGTGGTCAATTGGGAGGGAGATAGTCACTGGTTCTTGCCCCTGGAAAAAAATCAGGTGATGTCTTTGACATCCAGGGATTTTTCAAAGGCAGTGAGTAAAATCCCAAATAAAGCCCCAAAGAGTTTGCTTTTCCAATTATCTGCGCCATTGGTAATAAGGAGTAGCCCATATGCGGTCAGGTACACAGTAAAGAGAGTAAATAGAATCTTTGGGAACTTTTATTTCAGTCTAAGGAATGCTTGGATTTGTCAAAAGAATGGAGCTTTGTAGGAAACAGGCACAGAGACGCAAACCCAGGGCTTAACCTGCTAGAAAATGCATGGAATGTGAACACAGGTTAATTATTTCAAAATGTTTTTCAGATGTTATTTAAATAGTAATATATACAATGATTTTTAATAATTTATCAAAGCCTGTGATATGCACTGAATTTTCTTTGTCACATAGTTTTGAATTTCTCGGCCTTCTGCACTGCATACACTTGAACTGGACATCAGGGCAAGCCGCTTGAGAGTTCTCAACTACTTTCTTAAACAGTGTTTTCTGAAGGCCTGTGTCTGATACAACTGTGAATTATTCTATCTTAGGGACTTTGGTCAAACTATTGGTGAAGAGCTCAAGTGGTGTGTATAGACCCAGATTTTTGTTTACTTTAATTAATGTATTCCACAAAACTCATCCTGGTTTTTGTTTGTATGTTTTATTTTTAATCTTTTTCTTTCCTTCTCTACTTATTTAAATTGCCACTGGAATAAATGTGCCTTTTGAAGCAATGTCCAAATGACTGGTCCTCAAACGCAGTTTCTTACATGGGGAGAGTAGTAAGAATAAGCTTTTCTTACTTGACTGCAAGTCAAGGTTTCATGGTCCACCCAGGAAGGCAGAAGATGGTGTTGGTTTCAAGTTTTTGGTAGGACTGGAAGTAGCTTACGGGAGCAAGCAGAGCATTTGGATTCCCTACGAGGACAAAGTGCCAACCCGCTAATGTAGATGTGTTCCTAGTGCAGCCGTGGGAGAAGGGGAGAGGACGCTGTTCTAGACTGATGCCATCCATCCTTGTTTAATATTAAAAATATAATATCCGACAATAAATGAGGTAGTTTTATTATGAAAGGCAGGAGCGTATTATTGAGCTGTCACTGAAAATTTTGAGTTACATAAGATGACACTTGCCCAGTTAAACGCTGAAGTTTCATTTGGGTCCAGACTATGGAAATGATTGGCAGTCACCCTAAACCCTTGAACCATTCATGAACATGTCCCTGAGATCCTTTCTAACAACCAGATTAGCCAGTGTTATTTAGACATTTCCTACAAATACTAACCTGTAATTGAGATGGCCACTCTAGGTTAACACAAATGACTGAGATGACTTGTTTAAATACCTGTCACACTTCCTGGTAAGTGGTTTTGTTAGGAGCCAATTAAGTCATTGAATGGGGATTCTCTTTTTTTTTTTTTTTTTTTTTTTTTTTTTTTTTCTTTTGAAGACATGTGTGCCTTTATTGGCTGAGCAGGAGGAATGGGTGGCCCCGATGCCCAGCCAGCTGTGCTTCACTGGCTTGTAGGTGATGGAGAGCTTGTCCAGGTAGTGCTGATCATCTTGGGTTGATCTCCGTCACCTGGTTGAAGGTCTTGGGCAGGATGATCATGTCCCACAGGTGCATCTTGACTTTATGGTATAATTTAGATCATGCATATGAGGTAGATGAACACTTACCTCAGCACTGATAGGCTGGCACTTCTAAAACAATTGGCTGTTTTTGTTTATGCTTTTAATCGCTTTTCTATTTGTGAACAGAGAAGCTCAGCACAATTCCCCGGAGGAACCAGTATCCTTGTGTGTGTTATTCTGTACATAGAAGTTAAATTTATATATGTCTATATTTAATTTAGAACCTCTTAATGATATTGTAAATACACTTTGGATAGTTGCTGATGAGTGTTAGTGTCTCATCCTTTGTGAAGTACAAGGAGATTCCTGTTAGGTTACAGGGGCTAATTTGTACTTACCATAGATGTTATTCCTCAGCTGTAACTTAATTCGATACATGCATTCAAGGACAACTGTGGAAATCAGGATATTTCCAGATGCAAATTTATTTGCATGTCATCGTTGTCTCTTCTAGAGCCCCAAAGAACATTGGTCTGGAAGCTAGAAAAACAGGTTAAAGCGTATTATGTCATTTCTTGTAAAATGGGACCTTGATTTCAGAAGGAACTTTCAAGAAGAAGACTTCTAGAAAGGATTGATGAGTCTGAGAACAATAACTAAAACACTGGATTTGTCATTTTAATTTTTTGTTGGTCTTCTAGGTCCACAGACAGAATTCTCTTCTTGCCCTGTGTCTTTGACCTTAAGGAGAGGCCACTTAAGGATAAAATTATAACCATATCATTTTTCAGGTGATTATGCTCATGAGGACAGTGAGAGGACAGTTTTTGCCAGGCAGGTTTCAGCACCCAGCATGTCCCAGAGAGAATGAGGACTCACTTTCCTCTTCCCTTTGCCTTTTCCTTCCTCCACTGTCCTCTCCTGTTCCATCTTAGATTTTGGAGACCACATATGATATTGACAAGAGGACGTTCTAGTGGAAAACTGGTTTGGCTTCACTTCGTATTTGCAAGTAGGTACCATATATACTACTCAAAGCCAGGGATGATTTGTTAAAACTATACAGTTTATTAGCTAAATTATATCAGATTTCTGTCAAGATAATGATGTTTTAGAAGCAAATGTTTACTTTGAATCTCCCCACTTGGCATAGAACTATCCAGGTTTATTACGTATTTCGGGGTGATGTGGCAATCAGAGCAACATATATTTTGAAATATTTTTCACACTTTCCATTTTGCCACATTAAAATTCAGTTTTACTTTATTGTGCTCAGCTGTTTGAAATGTAGGACAAATTATAAATAAGAATTCACTCCATTATCTCTGTACAACCTATTTTGGCACTAGAATTTTGAAGCATATTATGTAATATGTTTCATTTTTACTTGTTAGTCATGATCTGGATGACGTCTCAAGGAGCAGCACCATAGAGTCATGCCTGGAAAACAAAGGTGTTCGACTTCAGTGCCTGTCACCCTGTGAGTTGGTCTCTGGGGCTGACTCAGACTGACTTAGTTGGCTAATGGGGTTAACTTTCTTCCCTGCCCTTCTTGCAGCTCAGGTGAAAAGCATGACCTTCCCAGAGAGATGAAGTGAGTTCTTCAGTCATGTCATGACTGGCTTGTAAAAATAAATGTGAACTTTTCCACTAGCCATACACTTTCTATAAATAGCCCAGGGAGAAAGTATGGGGCTTCAGAGCTGGACAGAGTGGCCTTCAGTGTTTCCATTCATAAATCCAGCTTGTAAGTGCTTGCAGTCAAAAAACCATTTAGCCTAATTTATAGTGATACTTCATGGGAATTATTTCTAGGAATGCAAAATTTCAGGATAGAGGTGATTTTTATCATTTTTTCCTGATTTGGTGCCAAATCTGAGGACTAACAGCAATAATAAACAGGAAGTTTTATCTTCAAATCTCTTCATAACCTTAATTAGTTCATCTGCACAAAGCTATAATAGGAGACAGGTATGGTAGAAGTTATCACCATCTCAAGGCTTTACAGTTGGTCCAAAGTGACAGGATTAAGTTTTCAAACTGGCATTAGAATGCAGGGACCATTTGTGTGCTCAATTGTGTTTACTAGTTTGTATGGCTATGATGCCTGACCAAGCACACAGACACTAATTGGAAAAATGATATAAAGACAGTCCCTTAACTGACTAACTTTAAAATTGAGCAAAGATATGGCTGTCTTTGAAATTAGATCAAAATATGTCACACAAAATGTTATCAGCCACTTAAAATGGCTGTTACCATCTTGTTCTTCAACTGTTGAAGTTTACCACTGCTGACTTCACTCTGTCAGCATTCTTTGAGCTGCTCATTCATGCAATCATGTCATCCCTTTCATGATCATTGAGCACCTACTGTGTGTAAGACATTGGGCAAGGACCCATCTGTATTATTACAGCCATTACCCTTTGTCTTCTGGTGGAACAGAGAGGCCCCAGAAAGTCTCTCTGTCCATGAACCAAACTCTGATCTTAGCTGTAGGCGGAATGCTGTAAGTCCCTGAGTTTGGGTCTCTTTTCTGTTAGCGTAAGTGCAATGCATGGAATATTATTTCTATTCACACACTGACTTCCTCAGCAATCAATTTCTTTCTTTTCTCTTTTTCTGTCTGCTTCTAGGCCTACTGTTAAAAATAACTTGAAAATGTAATGTACAATCCAGGGGAGGGGATAGTCAGCATATGTACAGAACTGAAAAACTTATCACTAATATTATGAAAACATTAGTAACAACAACTATTGGAAGGCTGATAACATTCATACTATTATGAAGAGTGGATCATCCAATGTGCCTAAATTGTGATGTCTTTAAGTGTCTGAATTTTATAGTGTAATAAAGTAAAAACAACACAACAACAAATAAACCACATACATAAGAGCTCAAATGCTTAGATCTCCAAACTTAATGAGATTAATGTTCTCTAGCCCTTTCCCTCTTTTAAATCTTTGTGTCGTGACTTATGAAACATGTCTTAGAAAACATTAATTTGGAGGAAATCATTAAAAAGTGTCAGATGGGCCGGGCGCGGTGGCTCAAGCCTGTAATCCCAGCACTTTGGGAGGCCGAGGCGGGTGGATCACGAGGTCAAGAGATCGAGACCATCCTGGTCAACATGGTGAAACCCCGTCTCTATTAAAAAAAAAAAATACAAAAAATTAGCTGGGCATGGTGGTGCGTGCCTGTAATCCCAGCTACTCAGGAAGCTGAGGCAGGAGAATTGCCTGAACCCAGGAGGCGGAGGTTGCGGTGAGCCGAGATCGCGCCATTGCACTCCAGCCTGGGTAACATGAGTGAAACACCGTCTCAAAAAAAAAAAAAAAAAAAAAAAAGTGTCAGATGTAAAAAAGATAGGCAGAATGCATGGGAAGGGGAGAACAAAGAGGGTTAGAGTCAAATAATCAGAATGGGGCAGCAAGTTTAACTGTGCAGTTAGCCTTTAAATTGTCTTCAGAAAAGCATGTGAACTCCCAGGGTGTTAGTGTTCAAGTAGACAGGCAAGGAATTCTGTTTGTCAGCTTAACCACATCTTGCAGCTTTTGACCTGAGCACGAGTGTCCAGGCATATTTTGAGTAGTACATTTATCTCCTGGCTTAATGTCCTTAATTTGTTTCCATGAAATTAGGACGTAGGCAAAAAGGCATTAGGGGATAGCACCAGCCAATTGTAAATCACCTTTTGAATCATTTTCTTGAAGGATTGCCAATATTGTCTGACATATATTGCCTGACAAAAAGCGAACAAGCCTAGACAAACAGAAAAAGGAAGCATTCAGTGGTTGAAGCTGAGCACTGTTGTATTCTTTTGTCAGAGGCCACACATTTTCTATGGAAGATTTGGTTTCTTCAATATTACAAATAATTATTTCTTAATTGTGAAAATGGATGTCAGTCCTTCTTAGTCACTCTTCCAAAAAGCTAATACAAATTTCTGTTGTTGCCATTTAGAAAAGAATAACTGTATTGCATTTCTGGTTTGCAGGTTTCTAACCAGTTTGTAGGCATTTTTGTTCTAGAATGGCTTCTTAAGAATCTGTGAACAAGTTGCAGAATTAAGAGTGTTTACTTATAAGTCAAGGGCCAAGAATGCTCATTTACCTGTTAATTGTGGCAGAATGTGACTTTTGAAAGCTCGGAACATATACCTATATGCAACAATATGCACACCTATTTACTATTTAGCTCAATGGAAAAGCAGCCTATTCTTTGAGCTTTTGAGAATGTTTCCCAATGTATTGTGCTTCTAAATGTAATGCACTTGCTCTAATGCTTTTGTTCTCAATCAATCTCTGGGAGCTATTCCAAACATGGCATTTCTCAAGGAAAATTTCTTGAATGTGCAAAATTATTCTCGAATGTGTAAAAGTGACAGGCCACCTTTCTCTCACGCCTTATACCTCCAACCAAAATATGCAATAAGCACTCAAGGCAGAATGGGAGGTCTGTCTTCAGGTGGTCATATGGCCATGCTATAAAAATGGTCCTGCTTCTCCCAGTTCACCATGATATTGAAGAAGGACACCATGTAAATAAACCCTTGTTTCTAGATAAAGCATGGGAACACAATTTCATTTCTTCTTAGTTCCATCTCTAGTTAGAAAGCATAATCTGTTTCTTAATATGCTGAATGCAAAAAATAAAATTCATGGGAAAATTTTTTAAAGAAGTATCTCAATTTTATATTTGTAAAGTTTCTAATAGCAATTTGTTTGTAAAAATAGGCCTTAGCACATAAATGAGAACCAGAGCTTTTTGGAAAGACTCATCTTTATTGGGGAGTTTAATCACCTTGAGCTCTTACCCAAATGATAAAGACCTGGTAGGTCGTTTAAAATATAAATAATATGTAGTTAAAAGAAGGATACAAATCATTTTTTAAAAAAGAGGAAAACACGTTAGAGAGGTTATTTAGATGTGTCTTATGGCTGAATTTAAAAGTCTTTTTTAAAAATTCTGGTTAGAAACTTTATTAAATTCCTTCTCCCAGCAAAACCTGGCACAGAAGGTCTACTTTTCGACCAGGCTGGTTTTCTTTTCTGGAGGCTATGAACAAAATTATTCTAACCAATTAGCTGAGTACCAAGTTATAAGTATGGTGAGTAACATAACCAGTAAAATGTGCAACCCTGGAACTCTGTCCCTTGTTTCTTCAGAGTAGAAAGAAGAGTAAGCCCCATGCCATCACTACATGGACCAGGAAAAGGCTTTCTGTGTTTCAGGGCTGGAGGAGGACTCTGTGGCTGCTTTTTTAAATCTGCATAGAGCATGTGGTCGCTCTGAACTCTCATTTCAGCCATCTCCCAGGTCATTTTCACTACCAATGAAGCCTTCACTTTCCACATATCCAGCTTGAAGAGAAGTGATTTCAAAAAGGATGCCATGGGTATTTCGGCCTTCTCCAACCATCTGCCTTATGAGCTTCATCCATTTCCAAACTAAGGATTTAAATATGGTGACTGTCCTTGGATTTGCAAGAATGTACTACCAGCAGGTCCCCTTTTGCAGTAAAGGGCATTATACTTGAAAGGCCATACGCATTTCTTCCTTAGGTCAGAGGCAGAGGGAAGATTTAACGGTGATCAAATAGAGATCTTCATGTGTCTGGTTTTTGTTTTTGTTTTTAAGTTCATTTAAGGGTGATGATGGAGAAAGAAGGGAGTAAAAATGATGCACACATAAAGAAATTGTTCCCATTGCTTGCCGGATTCATTCTTTTTAGGCTACCCTTAACTCCCCTCTTCACCTACATCCTAATGAACTGTATTTAACTAGCAAGAGAGGCATTCTCAGGATATGTGAGTTTCCAGACATGAACTACCATGTGGTTTCAAATCAATAGTGTATTCTAACAGAAAAGCATTACCTAATCATAATTATGCATTATGTGATAAACAAAATAATCTGTAGAAATAGGTATCACTTTGGCCAGTCCTGTGCATGTAGCTGAAAAAAAAATTGTGACACATTTCTGTTGTATGATTTGCTATGATTTTGGTTTCCTGAGACATTTGTTCCCTACAGTCTTGAATATGAAATTCTATGTAAATAATATAACTATGCATTTTTTGCTGAAAAACAAATGTATGAAATAAGAATAAATTATTTGTAAGCACAGTGTTTAGAATCGTACGCATCTGTGCGTGTTCAACAGTTATCTTTCAGCAACAGACTATCCTAAAGTCACAGTAAAATATATGAATTTTTACTGTGAATTTACCACACTATCCATTTACCACACTATCCATTACACATGCATAGCACTAATAAACAAGAAAAAACATTACCCTTTTCATAAAATTCAGCAGGCAGAAGGCAAGAGTATGTTTATCCTGAAGAAGCATCTTTAGTATATTACTTTTTATAATATTAGACAAAAAGAAAATTCATGTGTTACTTTGAAACCATATCTTCTAAGAAAATATTTATGTAACCCAGGTTATGGAATGTTTTTCAAAAACATATAGGATTCATGAGCTTCTGTGCAACACATCTTGTCCCAGAACCTTGGTGATGTGTGTGAACTTAGAGTATCTCTGTCCCAAATAACCCCAGCAATGGAGATCCAACTTCAGTCTTAAGCTCTGTGGTGACAGCTAAGTCTTTAAATCATGTTGATTCTTGTCTGGGAGGTTTTTGGTTATCAGAAACAGAAAACTCTCGTGATGGGAGAAAAGGTTTATAGGAGGAACACTGGGGGATGCACATAGCTGACCACCCGGGCCTCAGGAAGGACAGGGAGCAGGGCAGTGCTAGAGATTCCAGTAAGAAACTCCAGGGCTCTGCCACCAGATGAGCCATCAGCAGCTTCTTCCTTGCCCAGTTGTGTCTGTCCCCAATTCAAATTCCTGGAAGAGTATCAGATTGGCCTACCTGAGGTCACATGACTCCTCTAGAGACAAGATATACTTGCCTGTGATTTGAACCCTTTCCAGAACCACATGGAGGGCAGAGGTTAGTTCCCAAGGAAGGGAAGATGGACAGACAAAAACAACAGCTGTCCACTTCATCTAACTCATTGGCTGTCTGGTCCACAGGCATTCCACTATAATCCCCACTCCTGAAGAGTGTGCGGACAAAGATCATGGGAAATTGAGGGTTTTGGCCATGTGCGCTATGTAAAGCGCTCTCCAAGCCAAGTATCTTACTAGTGTGGGGTCCCTGTCAAAATTCTGGAGCATCTGGAGAAGGAAGGAGGAAAACCATGCTAACAGCCCAAGACAATAGCAACCACAGTCCAGTCCCTGTCTAGCACACACTCTCCTTTTTCATATATGTTTTCCTTAATGAAATACAACTTTTATTTGTACCATGTAAACACTCTTGCCCTCTTTCCCAAATACAACCCAAAGCTGCCTTCACTTAGAACAGCAGCAAGCTTCCAGCACTCAGGATTTCCATGTGATGGGAATTCCCTTTGTTCAGGTCAGGATGTGGCTAAATATGACATTCAGCCACTCCCAACTCACTGTGGAAAGGCAGGGAACTGGCTAGCTGAGAGGCAAACTCGGGCTCAGAATAGCATACCATTTCTAATGGCGTACTATGCCACCAATACATGACAGCCATCACCTCCTATGGCCTAGGAAAGACAAGGCCTCCACAAGCTGGTAGTGGAATGAGTTCCTCAGGTTCTGTGTGCTGGGAGGATTTCTGTCTACCTTGCTCCAGGGCCACTCCTAAGGGGGCCACTCCATTTAGACTGTCTAGTATCTCTTGAACCTGTGTCAAACATCTGCTTGTTTGCTTTAAGATTCACGTTCCCACACTTCCCTTCATCTGCTCTGTATTGGAGTTGATTCTCAGCTCTCTTACCCTCTGGCTTTTTGTTAGGTTCTGCCATGGGGACAAATGGTGAAAGATTGGATTGGAACAAAAAGTGGCAGAAAGCAGGTACTTTTTTTTCCTTTCCCTCCTCACTCTTCCTGTTTTTTCCTGGAATCCTCAGCCCTGGTTGCTACTAGCAGTCACAGTGTAATCCTGAGGGAAGACAAGAAGAAAGCCAGAACATACAGTGGGGACAGAGTAACTCACAAAGGAAGGCTTGATCAAACTGTGCTTGCAGCCCACACACCTTTGGACTTTTTCATGTGAGCCAATACATTTCCTTCATTTTACAATTGAGTATAAATTATATTTATGCCTTGTCATCAGAAGTATCTTAACATATCCATAAAATCTGCTAACTTCTCAACCATGTATAATGGGATTTGCACAGCTGCCATCCTACCATGACTGACCCAGTCCCACATTTTAGGATCTACCTATTAGATATTTGCAGTACTTCATTTTTTTAAGTACAGATATTCTGTATCAGGACTCAAAGCTGTCTGATGCCTGAACTGCTTTCTCTCCCATTCTTTGTTGCAGATATCTCAAATATCAGACCCTACTACTCCCACCCTCTCCTCAACTCTCTGATCTTACCACTTCCCACCTTTTCAGGAGCCACACTCCATCCATTATACATTGTTCTCCTGTATGTTCAACTACTTCTACTCAATAGATTGATTCTTCCTACAAGAATTTAAAAATGTACTACTAGTCTCTCCCACCTTCTAAAATGAGAAAGTCACCCTCTCCCCACTATGTCACACTGTAACAACACCCCCCTGTCTTCTGTTTCACAGCCAGGCTTTTTTGAGAGAGTGGTGCACACCGCCTTTGTTTTTGTCCCTCCCACTCACTCCTTTACCCACTGCATTCCTGCTTCATTGAGCTCACTAGAATGATTCTTCTAAGATTTCCAACAGCCTCCTTGCCGATGGTTAGACATTTCTGAGATCCTCTTTCCCATTCTGTTCTCTTTGAAACACTCTTCCTTTGGCCTCTGTGACTCTTCTCCTCTTTTACAATCTCCTCCACTTTCACGCCTGACTTCAATTTTCTCAAAGAGTGAACACAAAGCATCTACACTGGTATAGCTGAAGGACTTGGTCAGTAGCTTCCTGGTTCTGCCACTTTCTGTTAGCTTTCCTGCTCAATGTAGAGTTATTCTAATTCTTGTTTAAAGAATCCAACCTTGAGTCCACTCCTGTAATTCTTCTATTGAGTTTATAAGCCAACCAATGCCTAAGAATAAATCCCCTTCAACACCAACTATCTTGAGTAAATTCTGTGGTCTGCAATTGACCTCAAATTGATATACCAGGTAAGCAGAAAAGGATGGTGATCAGGAATGCTCTTTATTCCCCAGATAAATCATTGGCAAGTAGTCTGCTCGGCCTCAGATTTTTTATCTTTAATTTTCCTTGGCAAAACAAAGCAGATTCTGGATCAGGCAGCGTCTTTAGACATTTTGATTCTATTTCAAAGCAAAAAAATAAACACTAGGAAAATAATTACCTAGGAACTTTTTTCCATAGTGTTTACTTAAAATGAGTAAAGGGAGATAACTACGGATACTTAGAATATATGTCAAGTGAAAAAATCTAAAATAAATCTAGGGTGGGTTCGGTAGCTCATGCCTGTAATCCCAGCACTTTGGGAGGTCAAGGCAGGAGGGACACTTGAGGCTAGGACTTTGACACCAGCCTGGGCAACATAAGAAGACCCTGTCTTTACAAAAAATTAAAAAATAAAAATAAATAAAATAAATCCTATGAACAATAAGTGGTATTCTTATGTATCAATGTGATTTATATAATGTTCATATAAAAATTTAACCCCCAATATTCAAAAATTCATTAAATATAAAGAATATTCAGAATTCTAACATTGGGTGAGAATCCTGTAAGTCTTTGATCTAAAAAATTAATTGTGGTCCTCCATCCCAGTGGGGAATAGCCAGAGTGAGTCAGGATCGCAGCAGCTGCTTGGTTTCCTCTTTCCCTGGACAAAGGTGTTTATCCCCGTAATGCAACCTTCTGCTGCTGCTAACAGTGCCCTGAATTTCCTTTGAGGAATAACCTCACCTACTGAAGCTTGGTGGGACTGCAATCCAAGGTAGGCCTGCAAACTCTGAGTTTCTCTCAATTCTTTATTTTCTATGACTTGCCTGAACAGGTCTTCATGTAATTCTCTGGGCTACCCCATAGACTTTCAAGAAATTATTTCTTTATTTTTTGTTCTTTTTTCCCACCTTAAGTTTATCAGAAGGTTCCCATTTCCTGTAACGAAAGAATACTGACTGAGAACTTAGAATTTCCAGTATGGGATGTAAAGAGCTTGGAAGTTGTCACTCCATCCTACCAAGTAAAAAGCTGAAATGAAAAATCAATAACTCTTCCTGGGTTCATCAGAGACAGAGTCACAGGGCAAACTGCTGCCCCCAAAACTGGAGAGACAAACAGATAGATACAGAGAATCACAACTTAACAGAGCCAGAACCCACAAACAGAAATTTCTGCAGAAACCAGTACCAAGTTCTTTTTTTCCCTGTACAGCACAAGATACAGGTCATAAAGACCTTGCTGATAAAACAGGTTGCAGTAAAAAAGCCAGCTATGTCACCAGAAACTTCTAAAACTGAAAAACAAAGAAAAAAAGACTAGAAAAAAATCAGAAGAGACTATACAAGAACTATGGGGCAATTACAAAAGGTGTAACCTCCACTTAATGGGAATAAAAAAAGAAAAAAGGGAGAGAGAAACAGAGGAATATTAGCAAATAAACACCCAGTCAAACACTGCAGCTTCAAAGAAAAGGAAATTCCACATAGAGACAAGACTTTTGAATTACTTATAATTTCTTTCTCTCTTCTCTTTTTCAGAAGTCCACTATCAGTTTCTGACCCCCAAAAACTTTTTTCTTAAGAGCTGAAAAGATTCCTAAAAGAAAAGTATTTAAGGAATTTGATTAACTTTGCAATTTATAAATACATTTTAAGCCATAGGATTAATAAGACAGTTTTCACATCCTGCCTGCTCCCATAATTTCCATTCTTCCTATCTTGATCCTTTAC